GGGAATAGGGAATGGGAATCAGAAAAAGTCGTTCCCGCAGGACACTACTACTTAGACTACTTGTTGAAATTAGTAGCTGAGTCTAAATACGTCATGATCGCTTAGTTTCAAGACACAACCATAGTCATACACCCTCAATCAATGATATTTCATAAAGTATGAACGCATGTTCGATACACTATGGGCTAGGAAGTTGTTTTTCACCTATATCGATATATGTTTAATACATATACGAAGAACGAAAGAGCACTATGGTTACCGCAACTGTCATTATGAAATTATGCTTAATGTAATCTCACAATGCCAGTATCCGTTCAAAATATAGTATAGTCTTTAATTAATTTACTTTTGCAGTACCTACGCATACCCACACCCTCACTTATTGATCTATCTTTCGGTTGTCATAATATATTTATAAATCAATATAAAATATCAGTAATAATGTGTTTTCGAGTGTACTTGATTAATATTCTTTTAACGTTTACTAACAAATTTCTTACAATGTCAACTGTAAACGAATAGACTTTTGGAAGGGACTAAAACCAGATACTGTGGGACTATTGACAAAAAACCTGTGTGCTACTGGCTTGATTGCTAAATGAAAAATCGGTATCATTTCTAAAATATTCTAAATAGTATTCGTAAATATTTGATGATAGCAATTTTCCAATGAATGTAAAATTTTTTAAAATATCATTCTTTATAATACCACATTGAATTAATGATTTAAACGTGTTCATACACTTAATACTGATCTAATTGCCCATAATGCCAATATCTGTTACAAAAAAACTAAACAACACGATTTCAAGACTTGCAACATTAATTTAGAAAGCAATAGAACACTTTAACAACAAATTCTTATCATCATACACATCAAAATTCATCTAAAATTTTAATTACTTCTAACAAGGCTAGAGCATGCTCAAAATGAAATTGAAAAAAATCTAAAATGTGTTTTTCTAGAAAGTTTTAAGAAAAGAAATTCTTCTCACTCAATTGATCTTGAATTATAACTTTTGCAATGTGCACGAATATATTTTCATCATCTACCTTTATAAATTTGTTGTTGGTCAACATTATCTTTACATATGATAAAATTATAACCAATATCAAACCAGCCTAATGTATCCATTTGATAGTCTTGAAGTTATTTTTTAATTTTTTTAACACAATCTTGTTGATTCATAGTTGAATTCGACCCTTCTATTAGTCTAACTACAATATGTGTTGTTGGTAATGTTGCTAAATTGTCACGATCTGTATATCGACGTGCATTCCAGTTCGATCGATTTAACATATTGGTACAACCTATAAGAAATGCATATTCAACATGTCTATTTTGCACTTGTCCAAAAAAAAAGAATGGATGTTAGTATTTTCTTTATATAAAAATTTACTCCAAACATATCAAATTCTATTGAATTGTTAACCACAACAATAAGTTTACATGTCATCTCGAGGTCCATAAAATAGAATTAGTGAATGGACTGTCCCACATGAAATTACAGTCAATGGTTGTATTTGTCAATAAGGAGAGAATGAATTTTAATTTATTTATTTAAAATTAAAAATAAATATTTTGTAGAAGTTTCCACATTTTAACTTGGTAGACTCATTTCTGGCAAAGTTTTTCTTATTTCACTTTTACCTAGTGGTAATGGATAGTTGATGTCAGCATCGCTTTCTGTTGTAGATGTTGTCATCGCTGTAGATTTCGAAGTGGCATTCTTTTTAATAATGAAGCCAAAAGTAAAGCTAATAATAATCCATTGATGCTATAAAGAAAATCTTTACGTTTTTTTAAATATTTGGTAGTCTTCGATATCTCTGATATTATCAATAGATGATGACAATGATAATGGTCTCGATGTTTCTCTTTCTGAAGATAGGATAAATAGAATTGAAAAAAATCAAGTTTCTTTAATATAAGCAAATAAAAGCATCTTACTTTCTAACTTATTGTTATTATTATTTGAATCTTCATATTCCTCTAATTCAATTTCAACTGAAATTCACATGTTGAATCAAGATCATTTTCATTTAATATTCATTACGTTAAAAACACTAAATGGAATAATTAAAATTTCTTTTTCATCTGATCTCACGGCTTAACTTTCTATATTAATAGCTGTTAAATTTTGTTTTATTAAATATTGACATACATATGCATATTGTAAATCATGATGGCCTTCAGAAGTATGCGTCATTTGAGATTGTTGAACTTTACGAGTAAACATTTCACATAACACGATAACATAAACCGTGATATTGATATTGAGGCAAATTTGGATGATAAATTAAAATTATAAAAATATGAACAAGACAGTTCACAAGACGATAATTTAGTGAAACAGATTTTATTTTTTCGAACTACTCTAATATATAAAGAGCTAACAGTTTATTTAATTCTTTATAAAAACATGTTGTCAATGTATAAGTTTTTTATGAAATATATTGAATAATCTTGGTTTTCAATGGCTTCTTTAAAACATCTTTGAATTGTTTCAATTTGTTGATGAATGATTTGGCATCCCGGATTTCCAGTGTCATTACTTTGATTTGTTAGATATCCATATAAATAATAATGAATAACATCAGCTCATAATTTTGATACTATATGATAGTTGTCATAGGTTTTATAGAAGTCAATAGTTTGACGAAATTTACGCCATTTACTAAGAAGATCATCGCCTTCCATTGACCATTCAATATAACCATAATCATTCTTTGAAAATAATAATCTTTTTTGATGTAAAAATAATTTTTTGATATTATCTATTTCAACTTCTTCATAAGGTATTAAACTGTGTCGTAAATTTTTTATCGAACGTAGAGCTCCATATTCTAATAAAATTTTTACTTTATCGCCATGTCCATAATAACATGCAACATAGAAACAAGTTGAACCGTTTGAAATTTGAATTTTATTTATGATATTTGTATTATTAATAAATGGTAAAATATTTCGAACTTTTTCTATGTCATTTTCTTTACATAAATGATACAATAAATCAATATTACTTAACGCGCATCGTCATCATTACTTGATGAAAATATTGATAACATGAAAATGATGATGATGAAAACGAAGAATAGAATTTCGGACAGATACAAAACGGTTTTTTAACGTGCTCTATGTATTAATTAGTAAGAATATTAACTATTAAGAGAGAAGTTCGTCGATAAGTGCATTAAAAATTTTGTATTGAATATGAAATCATTAAAAACCAACAAAAATAAAAAATAGTAGACGTACATTACGATCTATGATTTACGTCTCAAAATTTAACTCCATTGAAAAGAAAATATTCAAGCCATAAGTATCAAAATTGCAAACTTTTTCTTCCGAGTTTACATGCTATGAATAACTCTTTAATGGCGAGAAAACGAGGCATTAAAGAAGATTCATGTAGGCTCGACTATTTTTTTTTTTAATTATCTGTTCTATTATTCAATATATAGCGCTCGTTTCAGCTGGAAGTTCATTATCATGTGTAGCTAAGTTATTCATTATCATCTTCTCGTGCTCTAATTCAGTGAAAAGCTATTCATATAATCCTGTTTAATTTGTTAAAACTTCAACATTTATTCAAGTTAACTTTTCAATTTGAATCCGTTTACAATGCCACAGTCCAACATCATTGTGCAATCCAAGAAAAAATCTAAAT